GCAGCCGACGACGATCCCTCGGTGACACTCACGAACTGCTTTCCCAGCGTTGTACTCAATCCTTCCAACATCCCATACACCTGCGAAGTTGACGATGCCCAAACATTGATTGACTTGAACCTCACTGCCTCGTACTACACCTCAGTTATCATTCGTGGCTGGCCGGCGACTCTGGATGCGAAAGCCAATACCATTACATTCATGCCTAATAGTGGGGCGCCATCAGGACGTTGGGACTTGGCCATTACAACGTTTTCTGACGATGGAAACTCTGACACTCCTCTGACGACCAATAAGAGCATGGACTTCATGATGCTTAGTGACAGCAATGCGGATTTTACTACACTCTATCCGTATTACGGTATGGGCGTGTCGTTTGCACCTAATCTTCCGAGTGGCACCACGGCTTCCGATTACATGCTGGTCCGCTCTTTCAATGACTGCCAGTACACCACTACAACCTGCACTGACTCTGTTGGGTGCTACAGAATGCTGCCACCCGCTCATCTTCCCCCTCCAGGCGAATACAGGCTCTGTGTGACGTCAAATGACTGGCAGTCCCAATACCTTCCGTGGGATTTGAACCCTCTTGAGGTGAAGCTGCTGTTCGCCACGCCGCTGTACTTGACAGCTGGTAAGGACAGAAATGTCGTGCTGCAGGGTGCGGAATCTGTGGTCAGTCAACTGAACCGTGTGTTCCTGGTGCGGTGCCCTGGCAACGACTGCCCCCGTGTGACTACTGGCAGTGGGGAAGATGTGGTCCACCGCGATGCGTGTGCTAACACCTCCGTCTCATCGCGGGTGTACCTGTCCGACCTCCGTGTGCTCTCTGCAGCACCTGGTGTGTACGCTGTGTGCGTCAATGTTGGTGGTGATGGAGAGTACACTGCTCCCGCTGCGCTGCCGGTGACGGTGCTGGAGAAACCCTTTGCCTTCAGGATAACTGCTGACACGGACCGGAACACTGCTAAGATTGGTGTTAGTGGTGGCGACCTCGAGTGGCGCAGAGAGCCGTACACTGTGTGCGCTGTGTCACGGAATGCCAAATGCGATTCCGTGTCTGCGGGGCCTCGTGTGTGTGAGAAGAGTGAGACCCCACAGTCATCGTCTGTGTTTCTGGATCTCGCCAGCAGGGGAATGCCTGTTCAGGATGTGAAGTT